TGGGGAATTCTGGGAGTTGAAGTCCACACATCTTAGAGTGGCCAAGGTTGAGAAACACTGTGCTAAGTCATAAACAATGCTGGCTATGCTGGCTGGGGAATTCTGGGAGTTGAAGTCCACACATCTTAGTGTTGCCAAGGTTGAGAAACCCTGTGCTCAGTCACAAACAATCATTATCAAACCACCATGGCTAAGTTCAGACAGCAGCAAAATTAAAAGGAGGCAAGCCCGCCTGCCAAGCACATCCTGGCTTTCTTTACTGAAGAAGGCGCTCCCATTGCAATCCTCACCCCCCTCATCACACTACGTTTCCCATGGCTTCACAGCGAAGGGAGTCATGGTCCTTCCATCAGCTCTGGAGGCAAGTTTCAAGGGAAGAGAATAAACTTGCGGTATTTAGAAGGCAACTCAGCAGGTCTTGATAAGAAATAAAAATTCAGTAGAGGGCAGGTTTTTGTGCGTCTTAACCATTGCAGGCATCATTCAAATGACTTTGGCTCTCTGCATACACTCCAGAGGTCTCCATGGTGGGGTCAAAAAAGTCAAGATGGTGGCTACAACCATGTGATCAAAGCCCAACCCCTTTTTTACAGGTGTCATGACCCCATTTAAAAGGGTGGGGCTTTGACTGTATGGCTGTGGCCAACCTTTTGACTTCTTGTGAGGATTTCAGGGAGATTTAAAAAACTTCCTGACCTAAAACTTTTGGTTGAGCATTTAAATATCCCAGATTTCAGGTCCCAGGGAGAATAAGAGGAGGCTGATAAACCAATGTTTTTGCAATGGCACCCCTCTTATTTCCATGAATATACACTGGAACCCATTTCCTAAGCGTGGAGGAAATGGAAATGGTTTTTGGAGACAAAACCCCACCTGATGCACAATTATCTTGCTCATTGATAAAGAGCTGAAAACCCCAGAATGACAAAAGGTGCACCTGCAGGGTGGGGTCAAAAAAGTCAAGGTGATGACCGTAAGTGTGCGATTGAAGCCCCGTCCCTTTTTATATGTGTCACATATTCAACGCGCATAAAAAAGCAGCAGGCTTTGATCACATAGGCTTGGCCACCATCTTGACTTTTTTGACCCCCTTCTGCGGTCCCTCCTGGCAAAGATGCTCTGGGTATATCAGGACATGACCCACCTTTGCAGGCTCTGTTGCTGGTCACAGGGCGGCTGAAGTCACGTTTAAAGCCTGGTGAGCAATACTGGCAGTGGCGCCCGGCCGTGTGGTGGCGACAGTTCAAGCAGATCCCCCCACTTTGGCGGCCCGAGAGTTGGAAAAGCTCCATGCTGAAGCGACAGCGATGGGAATGGCGGTGGCAGTTGCAGGCTGAGGATACAGGAAGGGGCTCATCAGCGCAGGCCGCTTTCTCCAGCTCTGCCCAAAACCTCTTTCCGCCCCATCCCTGGACCTCCACCAGCATGCCCAGCCCTCCAAGCCAGGGGGGGGGCCTTGCGGGGGAGACGGGTCAGAAAAGCCCAGATGGTGGCTGCCACAGCGTGATCAAACCCTACTCCTTTTTGACATCCATTACGTTGTGCAGCTACGTAGGTTAACCTCCCCCTGCACCAACCCTGGTGGCCTTCCGGAAACCCCTTAAAATGTGTTTTTTTCAACAGGCCTGGGGATCCCCTAGCAACAGGAACCCTGCACGCGGCTTGCATCATGTATAACATTCTGATCCTAACCCTCTCGTGATCTTGTTTTTATTGATGCTTAATTAATTTAATTGTTTTAAGCGGTCTGTAATATGTTTTAATTGTCGGTTTTATTGTTTGCTGCCCAGAGTCACCTCGTGTGAGATGGGCAGCCATAAAAATTTGGTGGATAAATAAATAAATAAATAAATAAATGGGGCCAAGCTTCGGTCATATCGTGGCCCTCATCTGGACTTTTCCCCCTGTGAATGACCCTCCAATGTTAGGAATTGTCTGCCCCTGTGATAAAGGACCCAATGCTTTAAACAATTAGCAATTCCCTGCTCATGGGTACCAAGAAACCCCTGGTGCCCCTAGATGGCATCAAGGGAATCCCAACATAAATTTTAACAATCAATTACAGTGTTTTTTAAAAAAGGGCCAAAATCTTCCACATCATGAGATTTCAGTGTTCTTGCATGAGATCTCACGAGATTTCAGATAAAGGTGCCGGGTTTTCATGAGGTTTGGTGAAATTGCTGACCTCATGAGAATTTGGACTTTTTAAAAAAAAAATGGAGAGAGCCAGCAATGATCCTAAAACACCTGAAAAGATGGCTGACTCTTATAATCTCATGAGATTTCAGGTGAGTGTCAAATTCTCACACAGTTCTGGTGGAAGTGCACCACATTTTGGCCATTCTTTTTTTCAGTGATCTCTTAAAAGGTAGAGAATTCATGAGATTTTGGACATGCTTCAAAACATGATTTCTCGGGGCCTGGAAAGATTGCTGCCCCTGTTCTACACCAACAAATAGCAGGATGGATGGTTTTTCTGAGGGTGCTAGGAATAAGCTTTGGAAAAGTGCCCATGGCAAAATTCTTCCAGCAGCACTTCAGGCAGGGGAGGACCGCGTGCAAAGGGGGCTGTATTTCCGCAGAATCCCAAATAGCTCATCCCGGCTCTGCTGGAAGCACACGCGAAGTCCTCAGCCAGGCGTGCTCCGTCTCGCCCCCAGTCTCACCCACACACTCATGAGCATCTTTGGGGGTTGCCCGCTGCCAGGGCCTATCCCAGTAGAAAGCTTTGCAGGTGTCACATTCAGGGCCGGCTGTGTTGTGCCGACAATCACACTGGGGGACCCCTCCATCTTTCCCAGCTGTGCACCGTGAGGCATGTCCGCTGCATTTGCATCGGCCTCCAACCTGCAGCTCGGCTACTCCATAGGACGCCTCTTTCCTGCGCAACCCCAGTGTCCGGGCTGAGTGCATGCGGTCAAAGGTCATGCGAAGGTCCGTCGCTGTCACCCAGTCCTGGAGCACAGGACTATACTCGAACCTTTGGGCTGAAGGGCGGCCCGCAAGAGGCATGAAGGCCACCAGCCCGCCGGCGAGAGGCTTGGGAGCGGTTTGAGCCTCGACACAAGCTGCCTCGTGTTCCATGCTTTTCACAATGGTGGTGGTTGGCGGCAGACGGTAATGCCGCCAGCAGCGGGTGGAAAAGAACTGAAATGGCATCCAGCTGCGTCCATAGTCCATGGACTTGTAGACGGCCAAAGATTCTGGCCGTGGGGAGCAGAACCGGAGAGCCACGTAAAGGATTTCCATTCGCCGCCCCAAAGCCAAAGTAAGCGTGGCGTTGGCTGCCGGCTGAGACCACCAACACGTCGTATCACCGTCGCTGTCGGTGAGATGCTCTGGCTGGTTTTCTCGGCAATCCTGGCAGAATTTGGAGGCTGGGTCGGTCGAATCCCGAAAGGCACAGAATCGCCCAGGAGGGCCGCTGCACGTACTGGAGGCTTCCACCAGACGGCCCGATGCCAGTTCGGACAGCTCAGGCAGGCAGTAGCGTGGGCGCTGGTTAGCATCGTAGCAAGGGTCACGAGGGTCGGGAGTTTGACCCAGAAGGAACGGAAGGAGAACTGTAACACCCCATGGGAAGCGAAGCATCTCTGGGGAAAAACGTCAAGAGTCAACAGCTCAATGCATCACCTGGAAGATTAGAAGGAATAACGGATATGAAAAAAGGGCGATGGACAAAGGGTCACAGGTTCTCCCTGCCCCTTCTTCCTATCTTCTACCTACTGTTTCCAAAATTTGCCCTTCCTTTTTTGGTCCTGTTAAGAAGCACATTATTACTGACCACCAGAAGTAGGAGTTTGCTCTTCTGCCACATGACCACACCTTCCACTGTGAGTGATTTCTCCCCACTTCAGTTGCAGGATACCATATTTTCCCAACAGGCACAACCCAATATTTTGTTCAATATGGCTTTCATGTTTTGGGGGTCCTTGGTCAAGATCCACCGCTTGTGTCTGGGGTGTCTGTGTGTGTGTCAAAAAGGCAAGATGGGTGACCATGCCATCTGGGTTTTCTTTAGAGATTTAGAATATTTAACAATATCACAAGTCCTTAATGATACACTGAAACACGCTAGTCCTTATGATGTCTTACAGTTCACCCATGCTTTACGATCTGTGCCTTACTCCTTACCTTCTTACATGCTTTGTATTTCTTTTTACTTGTATTCTTTTTACTGATATTCTTCCAACAAATACTTAATTAAAAAGTATATTATAAATATCTTTAAAAGACTTCCATATAAACATGGGGGGGGGGAAATAGCCATACCTCTCTATAACCCTTTTTATAGTGCTCATTAAAAGGGGCAGAGCTTTGATTGCTCAGCTGTGGACGTCATCTTGACTTCTCCTGTTCTGCGGATGCTTCTGTCACAGGTCCTCCATCCCTAAATGCCACCGTTCTTCCTCACCTCTACAGTCTTTCCCCATACAGCTGCTGCTCTCTCTTTCTCCTTCCAGTTGTGTGAAGGCTGTGGCTGTTCTTCTTAATGTTTGCTTGGAGGGGCAGGAGAACAGGAAGCAATTATGAAGAGAGGAGCTGGACCAAGGGACCCCAGACATTAGCAACAGGATTCCTATTGAGCATTAGCAGATACCAAACAGTTTTAACACCTGACACCAGTCTTCTTTTTGCCTCCGGGAGATGTGATCCTTCCTCCCCAAGAATCTATTTCTCTGGGGAGAGCAGAAAATAGGTAATTACGCCAACAAGTCCAGGTTCCTTCCCAAATGGTTGAAGCTACCTTGTTTCTCCACAAGCAGCTTGCTTGCTAAGCAGCATCTCCCTGAACTTCCAAAAAACCTTGCCAAGAAAACTGCAGGGACTAGTCCAGGCAGGAGTCAACATAGACTCGAAGGCACGAGAGAGAGAGAGAGAGGGAGGGGGGGGGGGGCAACGGGCTAAGGCTCATATGATAGAGATATGGGACTATGGTACTGAAGATGTTTAGTTACAATAAAGCTCCACAAATTTGCACCCATTGAGGAGTTCAGCTGCTGTAATTCCCAGCCAACATGGCATTCGCCTCCCATCTCTGACATTTAAAACATTCTGTGGGTGGTCACCACTAGTATGGAGATCAATGCACATGGTTTTCTCACCTCGAAAGTTGTTATAGCATCTGTTCTTGGCTCTCTGATCATTTGTACAACACTAATTCACACACATGGACATCTCCCCCTACCCTCCTGCCTCTGATCTCAACAACCTTCTCTAATAGAGAAAGCAAACCCAAGAGCCAAGTAAATGAGAATTTAATGAGCATGAGAAAATAGCTTTAAACTCCCTTTTCATAGCTGAAGCACGGATGGGAATTAACTTGGTCACAAGGGCCTGGGGGGTGGTGTGGAGAAGTCAGGAGAGACCAAGAAAGGGGATAAACAAGGAGAAGTTGCATTTGGTCTTGTGTGTGTGTGTGCTGGAAAGGATGCCTTGACCGTTCAAGGAGAAGTACACATTTGAAAAGGAAGTTTGGATCAAGGAGTAATAATTTGTGGATTATGATAAGTCAAATTTTCAATTTTGTCTGCATTCTGGCATGCTGGAGGGTTGAGTAAACATGTTGGTTTCCCAAGGGGATCACAACCTTGCAATTCTGGATAGAAAACTCGAGAGAGTGAGAGACTTAGAGGAAGAGACTTGCTTGTCAATTGAGCATCCACCGGTCTCAGAGAAATATGTTCACAGCAATGCCCAAGTTTGGGAAGATGCGTCTTTCAAAGAAGAAAGGTCATGAATTCTACAAGTTTTCTTGCCTAATAGTGCAGCTTCCATGTTCTGGCTATGTTCACATGCAACATCCTTTGCTTAATTATGGTTTGTTAAATAAACCAAAATGGCTGGTCAAAGCAATTATCTTAAGCCAAAGTTAGAAAAAAGATCTCAGCATTATGCCTTAATGTGTTCTATGACCCAGTCTCTATTTTTAAATAAAGCCATATTATACAAATATCTGGTTCTATAACATTGCCTCTTGTCAGGCTACCAGCAGTGGAGCTCAGAGTTCCTATAACAGGATTATGTGTGTGCCAAAGGTCTATCCTATTGTTCCCAACTATTTATCACTTTTAATAAACAGTGAAATAAGGTGGCAAGCTAGGACAAAATCATTTAGAACTCTTCACCCCAAAAACCCAGGAATCCTGGCTTATTCTAGTGCTTGCAGAACTCACTATATCTACCATTGCCCTGACAAGGAGCAACACAAACAGGTACTTTGACTAATAGCACATTAAGAATAGGTGCAGTCTGTCTTGCTTAAGTAGAAATAGCTGCATTGATGGGGTTTTTTCTTACTACCAAGATGTCAAAGATACAACCATATAGACTGATTCTTCTTAGCATCTAGTGACCTTATAACTAAATTATGTACCTTTCACAGGGACTAATGACTATTTATTCACAGATTTAATTTCCTTAGGTGGAGATGACAGGAACCCTGCTGGCATTTCTGTGATGTACGGACAAACTCAGGGAAAGGAGAGCCACTTAAGAGCAGAAGCGAATAAAGTATATTTTTACCTATTTCAAAATGAGATGTCCTCCAGTTAATATCATGCTGCCTTGAATAATGGCAACAGGCAAGAAGTAAGGGGTACCTTTAATTTAAAAACAAAATTGGGCTCCTATACACCAGGGGAACAGATACCACCACGGCCAACTAGATATAGTTTGGGAAGAGAACCAGAAGAAGAATCATGGCTGGAATGTTAGAGAAGAGGCAAGGGCAAAATGTGACAGGAAGAATCCTGGTCCAGAGGAACAAAATAGACTGGAGATTAGCCTATGGGGAGTTTAAATGGGGTTTAAGTGGAGAGTTTAAGGGCAAAATTTCAATCTTAAATTAGGGCAAAATTTAACAAGTCACAGATCACTCAAGTATTTGATAGGCAATGCCTAGCAAATTTTGTTTTACTGCCTTTTCACACCCTTAGACAGTTTACACTTAAACACCTGTCTGATGCATAACCCAGAGGGACATTCAAAGGCACTTTTAGTGTCACTTTCCAAAAATACCCACCGTGTGAGAAGCAGAGAAATGGCCATCAACCCACAAACCATGTAATCTCTGTGCATCTGCCTTTTAATGATGGCTCTGAATAAAGCTTGGGCTTTAGCAAGGCAGTCAATTATGGGATGGGCTGAGGCACTCCTGGGGGTCTAGCAAACCTGGAAGTCTGATCTCTGGTTTCTTCTCCCTTGATAGGGGATCATCTTTGCAAGAGAGAAACGTGATGCCTCCAGCTTGTCCATAACTTCTCCCCCTCTGATTGCTAATTGCTTTGGGGGGTTTGCTGGTGGAACATTCCCCAGCCCCCAGGGAGGATGCTTCCCTTGCAGTGTGTGGTTTCTTCTGATTGTCATGCATGATGCAACCCTATGTTCTCAGACAATCTGCAACCGAAGAATTCCTTCCATCCTGCAATCTTTGCCTCTCTTGCAAATTCTGATTTTGGAATGCCTTCCTTGGTAGTCTACTGGTGACATGTTGGGACTAGTCATCTCTGTATATTATTTTTTCTTCCAGAACTGGTCTGCAGCTAGAAATATTATGGGCCTAAAATGCAACTCTGCCCATGTGTGTGTAAGATCCATGCAGAAAGCCAGGAGTTCAACAAACTGAATGTGTCAGACGTTTTCTTAATGGCAATAAATATTCATATAAGCCCACTTAATTTGATACTGTTTCATTATTTGTAGATGTGCAAGAGTTATTCCGTTGCAGTGAATGGCCTAACAATGCAAAGTATAGGATGGGTTACTTCTGACCAAACACTTTATAATTTATTTTGTTCATATCCTCCTTTTCTTCCATGGGGACTCAAGGCTAGGTCTGTATATAGCAACACAAATCAATCCTGGAAATGTTTCCTTCCCCAATAAATGTATGCACATGTATTTGTACCTGCTGGAAGCCACATTGCCAAACAGGGTAGGGCCAGGGGAAATAATATATTAATAGCCACCTATTAAAATTAATTACCTGTGAAATAAGGTATCCTATTATAACAATAATTGATTCCCAACACCACACACCAATCCTTCCTTTTCACACAGAGGAACATGGAAGTACACACAACACACACACACACACACACACCCCTCCCTCCTTTCAGCAAAAATAACCAAAAAAGAACAGCACTGAAACAAATGAGGTGATGGGAAAGGAGTAGTTGTACTAGGAAGGGAATAACGGAGAAAGGTGGATGGAGATGAGATGAAGCAAGAGGAAACTGGACAGGGAATGAAAGAAAAGAGAACAAAATCTTTTTAACTACAAAAAGTTTAATACTGACTAGGGAAGCAGCTTCCTCCAACCGAGAGCTGATTTTCAACTGACCTTAGAAAGATATCCAGGTTTTTTAGGAGGAAGGTCTGCAGCCATTTGGATCTCTTGTTCAAATTTTTGTTTACAGGATCCCTATTCTTATCAGTGAATGCAAAACACTCCTCTCAAATCACGGGTCATTATTTGGGGGAAAATATTTGCTTTCCAATCAATAGTTATAGCATCCTACGGAAGGTTCATAGCCAGGTGTTGATCAGCGTTGGCCAATCTGGCTGGGAATTATGAAAGTGAAAATTCA